TATCAGGTAACTCGCTGTGAGCCTCCCTCCCTCCAGCCCCCAGGATATTAACCCTTTCTCAAGCAAGATCCCCTATTGAAATCAAGGCTTGCAAAGAGCTCCTACACGGCTGGTTAGCAAGTAGTGAATTCAAGACGTCTATGCTCAATTTAAAGGTAAGCAAAATCACGGGAATGCCTCAAATTATTTTAATTCCATTTGAGTCAGGCCTTGCTGCCCCAAGTTAAGGCTAAAGCTCGGGCTGGCAGCGACGCGCGCCCACAGGCATCCCTCGGGTGCGGACCCCAAACCCAGCTCTTGTCCTGATCTACGACCCCTCTGCACTCCGAGGATGGCATGCAACGGCCGGTGGAGTGCAACACCCAGTAGCGTTTTACCTGGAGGACCAGAGCTTTCCGCACCTTCCCTTTCCCGCAGGACTGGGGCAGCCGGGGCCCTGGAGAGAGCTGGAATTAAGGACGTTTCGGCAGCATTTTCGGTGGCCGTGCAGCCGCAGGGGTCCAGCAGTGCAGAAGCGCTCGCCGGCTCGGTGCCGGATGCGGTCTCGCTCTACCCCAACGGCAATGGCAGGAACGAGCCCACACGAGGTTCCATGACGCTCCCCCTCTGTCAACTGGCTCATTTAAATATATTTGGGTGTTTCTCTGCTGTTCTGCAGCCCCTTCTGCTCTGGGGCTGGGGACACTGTATCCCCAGTTCTCTCTCTTGCTCCGTCCTCCAGCAGCTCCGTGCTAAAATGCAGCTGAGCTTTGGTGGAGCAAAGCGGTCCCCAAGGGCAGAGAGCTCTGCCCAGCAGCAGCGGGGCCGGCTCAGCCCTGAGCAATTCAGCTGCCACCCAAAAAATGCTCTGGGTTCTTCCAAGTAACAGTCTTCTATAGGGGTAAAACATTTTAAATCATAAGGGACGTGGTCGCAGAGCCTGGCATGGCTTGGTGTCTGCGGGGGGTGAATGGTCTCCACCTGCCCATTTTCTGGAAAAATTTTCTGGTCAGTAGTAACTTGTGGTATCACTTAATAACAGCGGGGTGCAAACGGCAGACTGGCAGACCCACTCTCGTCGGTTCGCAGCAGATTTGGGGAGTGCTGGGCCACCGCTCCGTAGGAACTGATTCTGCAGCTCTCACACTGGGACAGCATTTTGGTGCTGACAATGTCCTGCAGCAGCCTGACCTCTCTTGTGCTTCTTCCATGGCAGGAGATGGGCAGGGAGCGAGGGACCTCCCTTCTTGCGGGGTCCCTGACTCCTGGGGACGGTGCCCGCTGGCATTTAAACACCTCCATCACCCCCACAGCAACCTTCTCCCGGGGAAACAACACCCTAGCATCTCAGTGAATCCCCCCGAACCTTCTAAAGGCAAAGAGAAGACCAGCTCCCGAGAAACTCTACGTACCTCAGCTGCCCAGGAGCCGCACCGTGAGTTGGGGTCCCCTGCCAGGTCCCTGCCGTGGGGCAGTCGCTGCCCACATTTCCCCCCCGTCCCCCGGGACTGCAGGGATCACGCCATCCATCAGCTCCGTGCCCACATTTCCCCCCCGTCCCCCGGGACCGCAGGGATCACGCCGTCCATCAGTTCCATCACAGGGGGATTTTAGTCCTGCTTTACCCACGGCTTCTGTGCCACGGGTAAATATTTAACTGAAGCTTGCTTGTTTTTATTTTTTTTTTTTAAAGTGGAGGTTCGCTATTGCAGGGTTTCACTCTTTCAAGTGCTCAGTGATGTATAAACAGATTAACAGGTGGAAGAAGTATTTGATAAACAGAAAAAAGGCTTTTCAGAAAATGCTACTTGGGTACGATTTGAATCAGTCAGAGCTAATCGTGGAAGTGGCTAAACTAAAGGAAATATAAAAAAAGAACACAGCTAACATATTTTTAGCCTGAAAGCAGGTTTCTTAAAATGAGTGAAGTGCCGTTTGCTGAGCCAGCAAGAGGCATGTTTTCTGCACAAGGTGCATAACCTATTTCGAACGTATCTGAGGGCACGTATGTAAAGCTGGATGGGGTAAAATACACTTTACGACAGCTGCTGCCTGGAAGTAATACAGGACTATCTATAGGCCACATATTACTTACAAGACCTGGGATGTTCCAGTAGCTGGCGGTCACATTTTATTACATTCCTACTGAACGTGAGCGCTTTTCCTACTGTTTTATTATCAAGACGGACTCAAAGTCCCCCAGTCTTATGAATAATTCTGCATGTTTTACTGCATCACTCTGGGCTCTCTCTCTCCACCACATCAGGAGGTGCCGTGCAGGCAGCACCGACGCCCCGGCGCAGGCAGAGGGGCTGCGCCAGGCAGGGGCCCCGCCACGGTGAGGGGCACCGGGTATTGAAAGTGGTGCAGCTCCCCCGACACCGTATGCACTGTATTTCAAACATGGAGAAATAGCTGAAAGTGCATATGAAGCAAAGCCTTTTCTCCCAATTTTCTGGAGAAATACGGCCGAGCCTTGCTTTGGCTCCCAAAAGAAAGAGAAAAATACTATTTTGTTAGACTTGAAATAATCTTTTGATTTGCCTTTAAGAGTTTGGGTTTTAAAATTACATTTAAAATAACTACGTAAAAGTAGAAATAGATTTGCTTAACTTCAAAAATTTCTAAATGAAAGGTTTGGCCTCTTTATTTCTTTAATCTTCATATTTTAATGCTGAATCTACTGTTACGAGTTTGCAGATTATTATGATCCAATTGGGGATCTTTTCCACTAAATAAATTATTTTGCTTAAAGTATTCGGCTTGTCTGGGCTACAGCTCACTCACGTTTATCTCAGAAGCCCAATGACCCTTCAGGCTGGATTTTCTTACAGGATTTTTGGATTATAAACCATGTCCGTAACATTCGACTTGCTGCTCTCAGCTGATCAGGCACTTGCTGCAATTGGTTTTGTTTTAGGAAGTTTTTTTTTTTTAAATCCCTTCTATAAATACATGATTAGGACGAGAAGGGAGGCCAGTACATTAAACTGCATCTTAAACGGGAAATAGATAATAACTTTGTATAAAAGCTACTTAGTAAAAAATACTGCAGCCACCAACCTGGGCGTGGGGAAATGCAGGGAATTTGCACTTGACTTGGAAAAAACGGTTGCGTCTGCCCCCAGTGTCGACTCTGCCGTGCCCTGCGTCTCCACGCTGATGCCAAAGAAACTTTTGATGAGATTTTTTAAGCTTAAGCTGCCTGCGAAGCCACGGAGAGGAGGAGCCTGGCAGCAGCTCCCGGGGAGGGAGCGACAAGACCCCGGTCACAGGAGACACGAGTCGGCTCTTTCTCAGGCCGTGCCCCGTCAGCCCGGGGTTCAGGTGGCCGCGTTGGGCTCACGGCCCCGCGGTGCCTGGGCCTCTCAGGCGAGGACTTCCATTTCCCAGGGCAAGAACTTTAATTAGATAAAATGGACTAACCGGGATAAATGGAAAATTGATTAACACAGTGCTAAGGGTAGAAACCCCGCTAGTTACCTGAACGGTGCTCACTGGGTAAAACACCTCCCTTTGTGGCACCCATGACCAGTTATTATAGTGCCATAAACATGGAAAAAACCCACAAGGACGACACAGCATCATTCCAAGCCTTCAGCCGCGCGTCTGAGAGATGGTGGCAGCAAGAAAATCCTCGCCTCCCCCCACTCGCCTCCCCTCCGTATCTGAAGGCTTTATTTGTTCATTAGCATTTTTTATTTGCATTCACAGAGGCTTAATGAGACGGCCATCCTGTGTTAAACAAAAATCCGCCGCTGGGGAAGAGCCCATTAGCGGCTGTAAGGCAACACGTAACTGTCTGCCATGCAAAGCGCTTCTTCCCGTGCTTTGATGACACTGACTGCTATTTAAAAGGGAAAGTTGCAGATTCCCGAGCAGTTCATCACTGCTAATTAGTCTTTGCCTTTTAAAGTTTGTTCGGTGGCTGCCCGATGCTATGAACACATCCCTTTCCTGCAACCCCCCGGCAGCCATCGGGGTGTGGGGCACCCCACGGCCATGGGCAGGCCCCCGGGGGCGGCTGTGGGGCAAAGGAAAGGGGAAACGCTCCCCCAGAACATTGGGGGGGGGTTTCCACCAGCTCAGCTGGGCCGCGTGGTTTCCAGTGGATAAGGGGCTGGCGCCGGGATGGAGACCCCGTTCTACCTCCTATTGCGGGACCTGCCCCCAAAAGGGGCTGACACAGCCCCCTGCCCAGCGCCCGGCAGGTCCCCTCGTGCCGTCCTGCTCTGACGCTGCCAGCCCCTCGCCCACAAAACCAAACTTGACCCCGGTGCTCTCGCTCTGCCTCGCCTGGGATGTGGCCAGTGATTCATTTCCACTGCCAAAGCCCTGTGTTGACATTGAAAGGGGCGTTATCGCGGGCGCTGGTACACCGGGGCGAGGGTGTACCTGTCGGTATAAGAACAATGCCGCGGCGCTGCCTGCACCCGCAGAGCCCAGCCGAGGCCAGCGCTGCCGCCGCGGCGCCCAGAAGCAACGGCG